CGGCGAAATTTGATAACCGCAAAATGCGACTACTGCCCCCTGTCAAAGTCAATGTAAACTACATAGTAAAGTACTTTTCACGGCTGCAGATGATAAATCGATCCCAGTGAACGTGTGTACCCTCAGAAAAGTGGTCCTTGTAGTTTACATCGACTTTGTTAGGGAGCAGTAGTGCGCGGCAGCATTTTGCGGTTACAGATTTTGGTATTCATATGCTAACCAAAGCTAACTGGTGTTGGTGAAACTGGCTCATAGGCCTAGTTTACATCGTGCCCTTGATATGGGTACTGATCTTAATTTTAACGATACGTAAACATATACACGATATGTGTATTTAATTAATTATTTTGATGCGCATTATACCAATTTAGTACATCATTCTTTGAATACATCGCTGAAATTAAAATAATTTTAATAAATAGAAAGTTACTAGTTAGTACGTGTGCATGTAAACTAGGTAATTGTCGATTCTTACATTTAAGACTGTTTAGATATATAGTCTTAAGATGTCATAAGTTAATCCGAGGACTATATTAGCATCTTAAGACATTGGCTGCGTTCAACAGAACGCAACAGTTTTGCAACCGTTTTATGATTGTCTGCTAAGATAGGACTGTTCCTCTTGATCTAAAAGCATAACCCAATCAGCGTGAAGAAAACTTCCAACAGTTGCAAAATAAACGTTCTGCTGAACGCAGCCAATGTCTATTTAAGACAGTTTTAAAATAAAAACGGACTATGAATATCGGCTCATGTTTTTTTCGTCTTTCACAATTGGTAGCCTTCTGCGCTATGAACAGTCTATAGGCGGGAAGGATTTATTAAATCTCTATTCTACAATGATCATAACATAAATCACAACACCAATCAGAAACGTTGATCTGATGAAAGCAATGGCCGATTTGTTTATTTGCGAAGTTATTAATAGTATTAATAAATAATAATAATAGCAAATTTGGTCATTTGCACTATACTAGATCAGTGCATACTAAAAGCTACTTTGCATGAAATTAGCAAAAAAAGTTAAATGTAAAAGTATATAAATATTTTAAACGATTAACTATTTACCAATGATATTATCACGTTATTTAACGAAACATATCATTTCGTGTATCATTTCAATACATTTGTAAGCGCGTTCAAGTCGATAAAGTGGCTAGGTCTGCTCGCCAAGCAATTAAATGATTGGTTGGATCAGGTAAGAACCAATTATACTCATTCGCTCGGCAAGCATGCCTAGTCGCTTTGTCGCTTGAACTCGTCCATTGTCAAAGTTGATTATATTGAGCGCATATCCAGAACGCTTCCACGATCGCTTACTGAGCGCTCAGTGAGCTCTTGCATCTGATTGGCATATTCCATTGGATTTAAAAATATAGACCAAACAGATACAAGAGCTTGTATCACTGTAACCGTATGTCGTATGCCGTAATTTACTAATCACACATATTAAGAATTGACTAATCACAATCAAATATTCTCTTTTTATTCAACAGTAAGAAGAAAATACTCGAAAGTGATTTGTCAATTTTTACAGATTACACCATACGGCATTACGGCCAATATAAACGCTCTCTATTTCCTTATATGTTTGCATGGATGTATGTTGTACTATGCAGTTATTTGCTATTGGCCTAGCCTTTCCACCGAAGGTTTAATCCGGATAATCAGAATGTAAGAACCAACCAACTACAGTCGAGCATTCCCTTGTCGTTCAACTGTAACAAGGGAATACTCGAATATAGTTGGTTGGTTCTTACATTCTGATCTGATTTAAATCCTCGGTGGAAACTAGGCCATTGGTGCTGTTTTTCGCCGGTTAGGCTGTGTGAACGTATGAACTGTATGAAGTGATATGAAAACAATAATGGCGTATTCTGTGAACATTTCCGTGGAAGCGCCGATTGAAAATCAAATACAGGAAATTACTTACGATGGCCAAGAAATTTACCAAGCGTACGTAAACAACTTTTGTTGTCAACAGAGAAAATATATTGAGATGCTCGATTAATGGAATTATCGTCTGATGTTAAATACATCTTATCTTACGTCTTGTAATTAACCTTAGTTTTGTTTGTAAGGGGATAAGATTTCATGTCAGTTTATATTATTAATTGTGCTACAGACCTCTTACCTTATCGGAGAACTTGGCAAAAATTGCTCAAAAGATTGACTTTAGTAAAACGAACGGTGAGGAGGTAAAAAAGGAGCAGTTAGAGGGTAACGAGAAGAATGAAGAAGATACAAAGGATCCTGCTTCGTTTCAATCCTCCTTATGGCCATGGGACAGCGTTAGAAATAAATTAAGGTTTGTCATGATTTCTTGTGTGTGTCTAAGAAGCTATTTATATAATCATATAATGTATACATGTATTTATATGTGTATTATAATTGTATTAAGCTTGTGATAATAATTAGACAAAAAAAGAATACAAATAAAGAATACAAATTGAATTTGATTGGTTTTGTAGAAATGCCTTGACGGAAGTTTGTGTATTGGCTGATGTACTTGCAATAGCAAAGGAAAGAAATTATATGGTATTAGATCCAACATCTCATGAATCAGCAGATGTAAAACCTATGATACAAGTATATGCTAGAAAAAAGGCATTGGCAGGTGCAGCGTCAGTTCTTATGATGGGTACTGAGAGGCTACGAAATTGTCAGGCTGAATTAGCTAGAACCAGATCTACCCCTGACTTCCATATCGAGTTATTAAGATTACGGCAAAATTGGCGTTTAAAGAAAGTATCAAACTCTATCATTGGCGATCTCAGTTATCGAACTGGTTTGTTTTATTATATTTTTATTTATTTGAAATATGCTTTGTGTGTCTCATATTTTATTGTTTGTGCCTTTAATATTCCTGATTACTATAAATCATACTATATTTATGTTATTTACCAGCTGGCTCAAAGTATACACAAACGGGCATGTTTGAAGTTACCAAAGCTGAAGAAGAAGAAAAAAGTAGTAATAGCCCACCAGCTTCTCCTAATACTGGTAGCAGCATGTCAGGACAATCTCATGGACCCTCAAATTCAAAAGCATCTGCCTTGCGGGTAACCATACCCAGTGAGTTACAAGGTGTTGCATACATCGAAGTATTATGCCAGAAAGGTAATATAAATTAAAGAAAGCAATTTGTGTATGTGTGTGCGCGTATGTATGCGTGCATGCGCATATGTGAAGAAAAATATGTACATTAAACACAAATGAGTAAATGTACGTTTGTTTAGATCAAGAAGATTTGTGCAGTGCAAACAGCTTGCTTAATAGCAGTGCAAATAATTCAAATACCGATATGCATTGGCAGCAAAAGTTGGAGGCTGCACAGAATGTTCTCTTTTGCAAGGAACTGTTTAGTCAATTAGCTCGAGAGGCTGTGCATTTACGCGCGCCTATACCTCACATGGTTGTCGGAAATCAGATAATGGCCACGGTATGTATCTTGCAAATGGAAATCAAGCGGTTTCTTACAGTTTTTATTCTTTGCTTCAGACTGAAACACACAATCACCATAATATATACACGGTGTGGGTCAGACCATCCGCAAGAGCCAGCATGTACATACTGTTTATGGAAAACTGAATCGTAAAGTCCTCTACCATTTTGCAATGGTCGCAACAATCGCAAATTAACGAGATATTAATTTCTAAAAATTGTAGAATAAGCAGATAAAATCAATGTACAAGACAACATTAAGATATCTTTCAAAGTTCTTTATGAAATATCTCCAAGATATTCCTTAAAGAACTCTTAAAGATATCCTAAAGTTGTCTTATGCATCGATTTTAGACATTCTGCTTATTGAATAAAGCAGAAAAAAAAATTGCGAAAATTATAAAATGGTAGAGAACTTTTTGATTCAATTTTTCATAAACAGAGTACGTACCGGTTCTTAACGGATGATCTGGATCATCCTGTATAAAGAAAAATTTGTTTTTTTCTTTAATGTTTATACCAGGTACTTCCAGGAATTCAGTTAATAATTGGCCTGTGCCATAGCACAGGCAACGATAAAAAACCTACGGCTCCACCACCACACAAAACCGATCACGATCATGTATTAGAGCACTCTCTGCATCAATTGTTACGCGAAGTACATTACAATAATAGTAATCATCCATTTCCTCATCCTGCTTCGGGACCTCTTGGGCCTAGTAAACGCAGATACGTAGCCGGTCCTACCGCCGCCGACAGATACGAGCTTTTGGAAATGACAAAGAGTCAGACGCTTTTAGAACAAATTATCCAACAAGCACAACACTTTTTCATGCGTTTGCGTACAGAATACGTATTAGACACGATAGCGAAAGAAGTGAAAGATCCGCTTATCGTTTCACATTGGAATGCGTTGAATTCGCCGACGCAGTCCTGCGTAAAAATAAATATCCTAACACATGGATATGACAGCGTATGTCGGACATCGATGGTTGTTCACGTCGGTGAAAAGTCACTGAAATGTGTGTGTCGCGACGGTAGAGTCATGCACATGAGTTACGAGCCTCAGGAACTGAGGGATCTAATTTTTTGTCAGGTCAGTTGTTTTTCTTTTATCAACGTTTGGGAAAGAAAAAAAAGAAGAAAAAACGTTAAAACTCGTATTAAAAAAATATCAAATTCGAGATATAAAACATTCTTTTATTATATCAGTAAAATGGTATCACAATATTTCTTATACGCAGATTTATCAGCATCAAATTAGCGCAGTACAGGCTCTAGCCAAGTGTATGGGCTGGCAGTTCTTAGCAAACAGCTCGCATCTCGGCCTAGGTTCAGTGGAGCCTTTGGGAAACGCCAGTAGTTGTATCCTAGCTTCACCAATTGGCGATAGGTATTTTATTGTTCAAACTTATAACACAGAAGAAAGAATGCGCGCCTGCCTATTATTCACACATCATTTAATATGTTTGTAGAATGATTGCTGTGCGATGTGAACCGCAAACGGGCGTGCAAGTCGCCATTGCACATTCTCCCCGAAAGGATTTCTTTCCTGGTCAACTTGTTCGAGAGAGGAAATGGGAGAATCTGGGAGGTTCTTTCAAAGAAGTTAGATGGGACAAAATGGAAGGAAAGAATTTTCTCAACAAAATGGAGCTGCTTATGGCTTCTTTAACAAGTTCTTAAGTGTTGCAAATTGTCAAACTTTCGTATATTTTTTTGTTTGTGGGACTGAAAAGATTCTCTATATTTTTCTATACCTTAAATCTTTACTTAGCAGCGTAGAATGAACTTGTTATTGCACGCACAATCGATTTAGAGTAACAAAAAAATTAAATGAATTTTTTGATCCAAGTTGATTATATGCAAGACGAAGTTTTATTTCGTACACGTGTGATCGAGTAATAAATGGAGTGAAATAATGGGAAAGAGAAAATTAAGTTTAAGGTTAAGTAATGAAAAAAAAATACAGGAAATCTCCTCTGTCCCGATGAGAAAAATATACAAAAATTCGACTGTATCGGTAACCAGAGTATATATTATGGAATTATTCGAAACGAATTCCGATCGGAATTATTTAATTATGCCCTAGATTTCTATTATGTTTTCTAGGGAAGATAAAATAATTCCGATCGCAATCCATTCCGACTTGTTTCATGATAGATGCTCGGAATGCAATTTTATAAAATAGAACCGATAATTTTGTTTTTTTAAAATAGTTCAATTTTCCAGAAAAATATAATATAAAATTTATTAATAATATGGATTTTACCTGGAAACAAAGAGTTTTGTACAATCATTCCTTATCTTCTGTAATTACAGATTTTTACTTGTATTGAAATTTATAGTTGATTGTGATTTAGCATATATTATTTTAATTTTGAGTTATGTCCATTGTTGAAGATATACCGTACCATATTGGTACGGTGACCATACGTCCTTTATTGTAAAGGACAGTTCTTTATTTTACGTGGCTGTCAAAATTCAATCTTGTCTTTCATTTTCCAATATTATCCTTTACTGTCTTTTGATATTTTGATATTACGGAAAATTCTTTTCTAACTAACGTTCCAATCTAATATTATAAAAAATATCTTACAGTTTCACACACATAAATACGATTTGTTTTTGTTAATTATATTTTTTAATTTAAATTAAATTTATTCAAACTAGAGCTGTTCTCATTTTTTATTATTTCAAACTTTTTATTATTTCAAGATCAAGGATTTGTTCCAATACAGTCGAACCAGTTTCAAACTATCAGAAAACTGCGCACTATCTCAATTTGACTATACTGTGCAATAAAATTTTATATTTTATATTTATAATGTATAGATTCTTCTATTATATAAAACAGTCTCCTAGTATTCTATAAAAACAGTCACAAACGAGTTTGGAAACATGTAGGAACAAAGCCCTGAAATCTTCAGATTTGCTCTTTTTCCTTCTTTAAGAAAATATGGTCACCGTACATATTGGTGAAATGATGAATAATTCAAATACGTGGAATATATAAATTCGAAACTTTAGCTTATTTAAAAAATTTGTAAGAAAAGAATTACAAATAATTCATTATAAATTTATCTTTATAGTGAACTAATTGCATAACTGGAGTTATTATTATTGTATATTATATTATATGGAACGGTGATATATATAGTTTTACATCTAAACAGCGATAACAATAATTTATACAACTAGTATTTTACAAAAATTGTTTTCATTTCAATGTTACACGAAATGCAATATGATCTGGATAATAAACGATTACGAGATGTGTGATAAGTGAAAATTAAATTAACTGAATGTCAAGTGATACATACGTCACAGTAATTACCTTAAATGTAATCATCGATAGATTCCCTTTTCTTTTTGCATACAAAAAAGTAATGACAATTTCTTAAACTTCATTTTTTTCTTTGTTAAATCTATTCGAGGAATCCATATTTAAGGCGCACATTGATGCACAAGTATACATCTCATTTGATACAATAATTATAAATTATAAACGTCTACTTATATACATATACACGTACGAGCGCATCGGACGCATACATTTTAGATTTTTTCTTCCTTTTTATAATTTCTCGTTTTCTTTTTGTAGCCATATTAAATTATGACGTTGAAAAATGTCAAAAAATTACACTTCCTTTCCTGCACTGTATGACGAAATAAATGAATGTTCATTCTTATGCCATTATTTTGCGTTTGGTATATATAATAATACGGACTGATAAAATATATCGAAAAAACTTTTTTTTATTATCCTGCATATACAACTTAACGTATAGGTGTTGTGACTCTTACAAGGTGAAAAACTAGATTTTATGATAGACGAGTGTGTAGCTATTTTTATTATGGACCGAAAAACGAATTTTCCACTTAATAAATTTATATTATCATATATTATATTATTATATTATAATAACATGAAAAAAAGTTGATTTATTTCAATATATAATGCAAGAAAGAAAATTTATGACTTCCTGTTTCTGACGTAACAATTCAACATAGCTGCAATGAAAAATCAAGAGCTTTAGGATATAAGCTTTAAGATATAAAGGAATAATACACACTTGGACGTCATCTGAATCAAAATTGGATTATTGAGAGATTATTTTGTTTCTGTATCATATAATTATTTCGATGGATTAAGGGACGGACTAGCAGCTCGATTAAAATGTCTAGTGCTAGAACCTTTTACAAGGAAAATAATTGTAACTTTCGCATCCAGAGATGCTTTGAAAAATATCAATTGCAAAACATGCCATCGTATACGATTTGTCTCTCGATCGGTTTGGCCAACATATAGATATATCGTACATTGTAGAGTTCGAGTACATATCGCCATACAAAATTAATGATGTTGCATACTCGGTACCCTGTTTAATAATCTGAATGGGGAAAAAAGTATCCTGCACATTAAACCTTTCTCTACATATAATATAATATAATATGAGCAACGAATACAATTTTCTTATCGGCTTTTAACATGAAGCTATTACATAAGCTTTAAATCTCAAGTCATCAGAAACTGATCACTTATAGTCGATTATTCTTTTGACATTTGACTGCAACAGGTCAATTTCTTACGTTCAAAACTTTAAGCTTAAGTAATAACTTATTGCAGAATGTGCGTTAGAGATTGACTCCTAAAGGGAAAAGATGTTTGTCGTTACGACATTAAATTCACATCAGAGATGAACTTGCCAACTATGAACGTCTTATTAAGTAACCTTTGTAAGCGCTCTCAGTTTCTTTGGAAACAGAGAATTAAAGACTGCGTCCGTCCACCAACGATCCTGAACGCAAGTGTAGTTGTTATTACCAGTACTATATAAGCAGATAATAAACTGGCTGCATACACCTGATAACGATTGAGCAATGTCATACATGAGACAACTAGATGCGATCCAACTACCCAGATAATCTGTCCCCAATTCTTCTTGTCCAAGGCAAAGAAGAAGATGACACCCCAGAAGGTGTGCAGGAGAATAAAACACAGAGTGGTAGCAGCTGATATTATAAAAAAGTATTCAGAACCCTGACGGAGTCCCATGGTACCAGGTCCCACTGCGTCAGCCAGGACATTGACTAAAGCAAAGGCACCACTCATGAAGCCAAAACCCAAGCCACAAACGTAAGCAAATACGTGTCTGCTGTCAGCCACGTGTGTCGTCGTGACTTTTTCCAAGCCTCTTTCGGCTTTACGTAGTACCCAATACAAGAGATACCTTTAAAGAGATAAAAACTTGTTAATACACTATCGTGTGGATTAACGTTAATGTAACGTCAAATGAGATTGCAGTAGGGAGACTGGATTACCTGAAACCTTCCTGGAACAGTACAGAAAAGACCAGGCCAAACGCGAGATGTTCTTGTAGTGGAACGACAGCGTACCAAAGCACCGATGATAACAGCAGGGATATCAGCCAGAAAAAAGCGCTGACAATCAATATGATTATTCTGATGGGCTCGGCGGCGATGGTGAACATAAACATGGCTAGTGGCGGGCCGAAAGCCAGACAGGCACAACCAAAGAAATCCATGACGGTCATTTTCTTTTCGAATGGCCGCGACGAAGAGTCGCGATTTCCCTTCCTCTTTTCTTCCTTTACTTATATTTTGTGTCAGCCGGCGCTAACAAACGCTAAACTCTCCTACAAGATCTCTTCCAAGCCTCTTTACGGTCCAGACACTGTCTGCTTCTATCGGGCGCATTTATCTTCCCGGTATAGGGCGCGATCAGATACTCGACAAATAATCGTGTCGGTCTGTTTTCTTATCGAAGATACAAATGCTCAAGTACATTGGAATCAATCGCCGAGTCACTCGTGTGACAACCTGACAACTTTGTGAATAATTCTGTCCTATCTATTTTCTATTCTTGAATGAGGTTATCGACAGCAACGCTGAACGCATCGAAAATCTGCGAAAATCGTCATTCGATCGATATCTCGAATGTGACTGAAATCGATATATCGAATATGTACTATAATAGGTAGTGTCTTTGACTATATAACTATGGACTGCTAGTCGGCTTCAGTTGGCTTTCTCACGCGTACCAATACGAAAAGTGTCCCCATCAGTGAAATGGCGAATCTCGGTACTTTGATAATACATCGTATTCACGTACAAATCTAAGTTTACCAGTTCAATATTTGATATATATTTCAATTTTATAAATCAAAGAAAAGAAATTACTATCCGAGTTTAGCCGGAATCGTCGTCATTTCGATAACGAGTGCCATATAAAATTAAAAGAAGCAGAAGATCAAAGAAAAGAAAGAAATTAATAACATTTTACTTCGAAATAAAATTATTTTATGAAGGGAAATGCATTACAATATTTAAACAAAAAAATCTTTTGAGACGCACGTTAACGAAAGCTGTAATTTTTAGCGGTCAATAATATAACATTATTTGTATAGCTATTTGTTCGGAGCGACAGGTCGTTCATCATTTAATCTAATAAGGCATGCGTTATGTTTATGCGAACTTAGCATTTCGCGCGTGACGACGTCATGTATGACGCAAAACGATGCGGCACGGCAAGTGACCAATGAGGAATGCGCCCAGCGCGCAGCACTGTCCTCATTGGCTATTCGCCAAGCAAGGCGCCACAGCGAAACGGCGGCCAATAACAGACGCGCCGATCACCAGTCGATTTTCGCATAACAAAATGTGGTAAAAATTATTAAGTGCGTATCAAGGTGATTCCAGATTGTTCTTATGTTTTTTACTATAATAAACGAGAAGATTCTCGGTTATTCCTTTTTTCGTCATATCCGGTTTTTTTGCTGCTAATATTTGTGGGAACAATCTGAAATTACACTAGTATATAAGATGCCGCGCGGTTACGGCGCAGCAGTCCTTGGATCTTTTTCTGAGTGGTGCGATTTCGGCAGTAGAGTTTTACGTTACAGTTCGGTATGCTATTCCGTCCGAAAGAAATTCTCTATGCGTGTTGAATTTGCTGTAGAAAGTCTCAATCTGTTTTGTACTTCAATAAACTTTTTTGTCTTGAGTGTGGAAAAAGCAAACGATTTTTCTTTCAAGTAATATTCCGCTCCTTCCTTCCGAGTCGTTACACTATTGAACATTACAATTATATTTATATAGCTATTAAATAATATATATATATATATTCATTAACACTTGTTATCTATATTTTACTATTGTGTGTTAAATTTATACATGCATATTTT